CTCCCGATTTCCTGGGGTGCTCGCCCTGAGCCTTCCTGCATCCATGGAGCCCTGTCCAGGAGGTCTGGAATGCTCCAGAAGCTCCTGTCTGGGGTTCCCTCAGCCCAGCAGGATTTTCCCATCACTGTGGTTTCAAACCTCACTGCTGTGAGACAGCTCCTGGGGGCTGGATCCATCTGGAAGAGCAGGAAGCCCATGGAATAAGGGGGTGCAGGCAGGGATTGGGGTGCAGGAAACAGCAGAGAGACCCCAGACAGGGATCTTGCCAGAGCCCCATGGACAGCCTGAGCCTGGATTTTGGGAAGAGCCTTTTCCCTGCCCAGTGTCCCCCCCACAGGTCCCCAGCCCACTCCTGCAGGATGGGGAGCACCGAGGGGACACTGAGCCCCTAAACCCCAGCCTTGTCACTGGGGGGGCTGTTCCTCACTGCCACTGATCTTAAGACTCTTTGAGGCCATTTTTGTCCCTGGGCCTGTTCCCCCTGGGTGACCCAGGGCAGCAGAGCCAGCTCTGTCACCTCCCTGGGTGACAGTGTAGCACTGTTCCAGCACTGCCACCCCAGCCCAACTCAGGGGCTTCCCCCGGGTTTTGTCACCCCTTTGTCCCTGGAGGTCTGTCCCCAGGGCCTTTGTCACCCTTTTTTCCAAGGGACCCTGGGATTCTCCTCCATGAAATTCTGGGGAGTTTCAAGTAGAAAGGGACGAAGGCTCCAGTGCCACCATCATCACCATGACGAGGGTCCTGGCTGGAAGGAAACAGCCAGGATCACATCCCAGAACCACCCTTCGGGTACGTCCCCCTCCCCACCTCCCTGCCCCAGGTAAGGCTCAGGGCGGGGGTGTCCCCAGGGGAAGGCAGGGAGGGGACAAATCACCGATCTGGGGCCTCCACATCCGCACCTCTGCTGGAAAACAGAGGCTGATCCCATGTCGGCAACAGGGAAGGGCGAGTCCAGCGGGACTCAGCGCCTCTCCTCCCACCGGGGGCTGCCCAGGAAGGCCCCGGTGCTGGGCGGGTGTTGGAGCCCGAGTGGCACCGGGAGGAGGCCGGGGGTGACCTGTCCCCCCCGCGTGTGACAATCGCGGCCGGGAGCGGGTGGAACGCCGGTGTAAATAAACCCCGTGTTTGGCACTCGGTAGCGCTCGGAGACTGAGGGGCGAGGGATGGGGATGGGGAGAGATGGGGATGGGGAGATGAGATGGGGATGGAGGATGTGGAGATGGGATGGGGATGGGGATGTGGAGATGGGATGGGGATGGAGGATGTGGAGATGGGATGGGGATGGAGGATGTGGAGATGGGAT